ATGTGGCCCTTGGACCAAAATGTTTGCCCACCCTTGCCTTGGACTCAAAGGTTGAGCTTGCCGTGGACTAGAGTTTGGGTGACCACGGTGTCTAAGGATGAGGCCCACGGTTTTTCAATCTGGGCACCCAAAGATAGAGGCTGGTTTTGGAACCATTGTTCTTAGCATCTCTGTGCCCTGTTGACCAGGGTAATGCTGCTTCCCCGCCTGGCAGGGGCGGGGCCAGGACGGCATCTCGGAAGGTGGGAGTCGGCACGGTTGGGGTGCTGACTAGGTGCTGACCTCAGCTCCTCTGCTGTCTCTCTTGTTTTGATTTGATTTTCTAGACCTCCTGCCACAAAGTTTTTCATCACTGTTTTCCCGCAGCCAATTGTCCTGAGCCCTGGGATGTCCTTAACTCTTCCCATCATTTTCCGCCCCTTGGAAAAGGTAAATTGGTACCTCCCACAGCCCTGCCTCTGCTGTCACAGCTGCCATCTGCAAGGCCCTGGGAAGGGAGGGAATAGGCGGTGGGGGTCAGCAGATCCCTTTCTCTCCGATGCCCTTTGGGTTTTTTAGTTTAGGGGGCTTTGTTTGCTTTTTTTAAAAAACATTTCTTAAGTGACTGTATCGCTGGGGGAAGGTGCTGAAGTGTTGGCCCTTGGGGCCGAGAGCTTCTGTCCGTGCCAGAAAAGGTACAGCCTGAGCAGCAGCAGGGTAAGTTTACACCCCATGCTAGTGCGCCTCAGTCCTGCCCTGAAGGGACTCCTATGGAGGGAGCGTGGTCCACTCTACTCTTGGCTGCTGTGCAGTTTGCCCACACGTGGTTTCCCCAGGGGCCAGTCTGTGTATCCTACATGTTGCCTCTTCCTTCTCAACACAGCATGCTTGGGCTGTCAGTCACTCGCCCAGATGGGGCCTGGTGCTGGGGATTTTAGTGCAGAACCCTTGATTCTGGGGTCTGTTCTCTTTCCCCTTTGGCCCACTGACCTAGGCACGGTGCGTGGGCTGTCAATTGACTGTGGGTTGAGTGGCAAGAAGCTCCCCCGTCCTCCCCTTTGATTGCAGAATTTGTTTAGTGTCATTTTTGCGCGTGTGCTTGGACGGAGGAGATAGGGACGGACAGTGTGTGGGGAGTGCGTGTTAGACACAAATGGTATGTGAGCCCATTCTAGTGCTGATTCCCTCTGTATCTACTGCATGGCCAAGGCACACTGCTGCTCTGCGTAATAGCCCGCCCTGGGAACTTGTACGCCCTGGGCTCGGCCATGGCGGGGAGCCTTTCATCTTGCGGGCACTGGTTCCAGTCTGCCCCGAGTTTGGAGGGCTGCCTCGCTAGGCTTTGGGGAAGGCGAGAAGGAGCATTTTGCCTGGAGGTTTGTGTCTGGCCCTGGCCGTGTGAGCGGTGGCATGAAAGTGTTACACCCACTTGCTAGTCAGTGGCCTGTGTGAAACCAGTCGGTGGTCGTGTTGTTTTCAGGCAGGCAGGTGTCCATGTCGCGCCGGGCCCCTTGTGCAGCTGGCAGCCTGCTGGCCAGACGCCAAGGACTGCCTGGGCCATAAAGGACGGGGAGTCAGCTTGCCTACACACGAGCTGCTGCCAGGGTATGCTTGTGGCCCAGTGGGCTGTAGTGTGTGGAAGGGGTGTGCCTGGCAGTTCCCTGCACTGCAACAAACAGCCCATCAGTCTGCAGCCCTCCGCCCGCCCACGGTGCACGTAGGCGCGCGTCCAGCAGAGCACTTAGCCACACGTCTCTGCACTGCTCCAGGAGCCCCGCGGGGGGCAGGGGGCCTCGCATGCGCACACGCAGGGGCTTCGCTGGGTCAGGGTCTCAAAGAGGTTGAAAAAAGAAAAGTGTCAGGGGACAAGCAGAGGTTGCATGAATGTATCTGGCAATGCAATGGGGTGCTCTCTGGGGCTGCGCGATTCACGTCCAGGAGAGAGAGCCAGTCTCTAGCGCGTCTCCCGTCCTACCCCCATCTCACCTGCTCCAGCAGCACTGGAACGCAGGGGCTTCGCTGGGTCAGGGTCTCAAAGAGGTTGAAAAAAGAAAAGTGTCAGGGGACAAGCAGAGGTTGCATGAATGTATCTGGCAATGCAATGGGGTGCTCTCTGGGGCTGCGCGATTCACGTCCAGGAGAGAGAGCCAGTCTCTAGCGCGTCTCCCGTCCTACCCCCATCTCACCTGCTCCAGCAGCACTGGAACGCGGCTGTCTGGCTCTCCTGCTCTCCCACCCTCCTCCTTTCCTTCTGCAGAAGGAGTATGACGACAGCATCTGCTTTGAAAAGCCGGAGGGTGAGTTCTCAGTCGCCCTCCGAGCGATGCTTCCACGCCACGAGCTGCTCTTCCCAGATGCCATCCAGCTGCCTCTCTGCGCCATCCATGACTTCACCGAGGCCGCATTTCCTCTGTGCAACATTGGGTGAGTGAGCCCCCAAGCTGCTCAGGTCGAGCAGAGCCACGGTCCACACCCACTGGCACCAATCCAGCCTTCTTGTGCCTAGGCCAATTTGGCTCCGTTGGCTCATTGGTTAGATCTTGCTGTGATTCCCAGCCGAGGCTGCCATCATTCCCTGGAAGCCACCTCCACAGCGCAAGACCTTGCGGGGTTAGGCTGTACAGGGGAGGGCTCTGGGGTTGGGCAGTGATGCGAGGCTCCAGTTCCTCCTGATCAAGAGCACAGACGTGGGGAAGAGCCTTTCAGACCTAGGTCTCTTTTGTTAGAGCTGCCAATGCTTGAAATGCTACGGCAGCGCTGGTGCAGCGCTTCAGGAAGACACTACCAACGCCGATGGAAGGGGCTCTCCTGTTGGTGTAGGTATGCCACCTCCCTGAGAGGCGGTAGTTGGGTTGCGGGAGATTGCAGCTGTCAGCCTAGTGCTGTCTACACAGGAACTTGGGTCGGCTGAACTCTGGGGCTCAGAGGCTTGAATTTTTCACACCCTTGACTGATGCAGCTAAACCAACCTAATTTTAGCCCGGGCCTTTCTAGATGGAAAGTCTCATCTGTAGCCGGGTACCCTTGCTTGTGGAATGCATTGGGAGCATCTCCTGGATGTTAAGGCCTGAAGGGACTGTTATTTCATCTAGTCTGACCTACGTAACAGACCTTTTGAGGTCCCTGCCAACCCCTGTTTCTGTGATTCCTCAGGGCAGGTAGCTACATCAGCCCCCACCAGAGCAGCTACCCTCTCTTGGGAATCTTGGCTAATGGAGCTATGGAGACTAGACCCCCCTCTCACTTCCTGGGCTGGGCTAAGGCCTGTTGGCAGGACAGAGTGCCTGTGCTGAGCCTGCTCTGGGTCAGCAGAAGCCTTGGGTCTCTAGGGCTGGGGATCCAGCCTTAATTTCACCCAGAGAAAACGGAGCGAAAGCCTGGGGGTCCCCCTGCTGGCAGTTAGTGTCTCCTGTCAGGGCTGGGCTTCTGATGCTGGCGGTGGTCGGAGAATCATGGACTCACCGACACTAGAACTGGCAGGGACCTCGAGAGTCATCGAGTCCAGTCCCCTGCCCTCACAGCAGGACCAAATACTGCCTAGATCACCCCTGACAGGCGTCTGTCCAACCCGCTCTTCAATATCTCCAGTGATGGAGATTCCACAACCCCCCTAGGCAACTTATTCCAGTGCTTCACCTGGAATTTCTGTTTCTGGTGTTGGTCATCTTCCCTCCCAAGTGCAAACTAATGGTTCTTATCAGCCTCTTGTAACTATTTAGTCTTGGAGATGCTACTAGACTAATTGTATTTTTTTAAGTTTTTCCTGTTACAGACTCACTCGGCTATCCCTCTGACGCTTATCTACTCACTGTCTTTTTTTCTTCTCCCCTTCAATTTTTTTCCTCCCCTCCCCCCTTCCCTTATTTATTCTCGGATCCGGACTTCCAACACTCGTGCCCACGAAAGCTCATGATACCATCTACATGTTTTGTTAGTCTTTAAGGTGCTACCAGACTATTTGTTGTGTTTTTTAAGTTTTTCCTGTTACAGACTAACTTGGCTACCCCGCTGAAGTTTTTCACTATCCTGACAGTTGGGAAATGTTTCCTAATGTCCAACCTAAACCTCCCTTGCTGCAGTTTAAGCCCATTGCTTCTTGTCCTGTCCTCAGAGGCCAAGGGGAACAATTTTTCTCCCTCCTCCTTGTAACACCCTTTTACGTACTTGAAAACTGCTCTCCTGTCCCCTCTCAGTCTGCTGTTTTCTAAACTAAACAAATCCAGTTCTTTCCGTCTTCCCTCCTAGGTTGTTTTCTGGATCTTTAATAATTTTTGTTGCTCTTCTCTGGACCCTCTTCAATTTCTCCACATCTTTCTTGAAATGTGCTGCCCAGAACTGGATACAATCCTCCAATTGAGGCCTAATCAGCACAGAGCAGAGCAGAGCAGAGCAGAGCAGAAGAATGACTTCTCGTGTCTTGCTCACAACACTCCTGTTCATGCAGCCCAGAATCATGGTTGCTTTTTTGCAACAGTGATGGCAGGGAGATGCGTCCAGGGCACTCAGGTGCTGTTCCTAACACTGCCTCTCAGCAAGGCCCAATGTCTTTCAATGTGTCTGATTTGAAACAGCTAATCCCTGCTCCGGGTTCACAGTGCTTTCTCTGTCCTTCCTCCTCTGCACGATCCTCCTCTCAAATATGTGACTAACAGGCGTGCATGGGGCAGGGTGTGTTGGAGGAGATCACTGTATACTGCATTTCACAAGGTGGGGGGGCTTCCCTTCTGTTTGTGTGAGCAGGTCTCTGTCTCACAGCTCAGCCTGCGGCCGCGGGGTTCAGTTGCCTCGAGCCTCCATGTGTGCACCTCGACCTCCCCGTACACGCAGTCAGGATCTTGAACAGCGCATGCACCTGGAGAAAGGGGTGGAGCTAGTTGTTAGTAATTTCACACTCCTTCCCAGGCCGCCGGCAGAGCTTGTTCATTCAGCCCTTCTCTGAGTTTGCCTCTCGTCCACTGGCAAGCCAGCAGCACAGAAATGATAGCAGGTGTTACCCGCACAAATGTCTCTGTCTCTTCCACACTGTAGGGAGACACCTTTACCCAGTTCCTAGGGCTCAAGGTACAACCCTGTTAATTTGCATACCCACCCTCACCCAATTCCTAGGGCTCAGGGTGCATCTTCCTATGAGTTTTGCAGGAACTTTAGCCACTGAAAGAGCCTCACACAGTAATATCCTTCTCCTCTATTGATTGACAATTCCCAAACAAACCGACTACACATGCTAAGCACACGGTGTCATGCTCACCAATCTGGCTGCAGGCAGACTTCCCCTGCTGGCCAGGCAAGGTCAGTGTCTCTGGATCTTAGTTGCTGCACGTCACGGTTGTGCAGGAGAGCCCTGGCAGCTCTTGTCTTAGGCTGGGTCTTGGAGGTGAGTCCCCCTTCTTGGGGTTCCTTGTCTCCCTTTGGTCGTCTTCCAGCCTTTTGCGTCCTTCCTTCTGCTTCTGTTACTTCTGATCTTCTTTTTCCTGATCTCCTTCTTGGACCCCAGTGTATATAATGAAACCTGAGTCTTGCTTAGCTAGACCGTAACCAATTAGTTTAGTATAATTTTACTAACCAATCATAATAAAATTACCTAACCAATCATATCCCACCACCTTAATTGATTTACACCTAGCAAAATTAATTATCCAGCAGACAGGAACAGTTACAAACCAGACAGGAATCACACAGACAAACAATAGGAAAGTGTCATGACAATGATCATAGTGTGGAATCCTCATTCTATTCTCTCTGGATAAGCAGTTTCTTGCCAGACAGAATGGTGTTACTTCAGTTTTCTTTACCTACCCTGTGTGACGTAGTGGGGGTATTGGGCTGCTTTCTATGCTGGCTCTGTGGTAACCCCCACTGGCTGCTGCCAGTACCACAGCCCAGAAGGACAGGGAGTCAAAAGGGAAATTGTGTAACCGTTAACTGTGGTTTTGTGATGTAGTGAGCAGACAATACACTCTGAGCATTCACTAGTGGTAGTGACTGGGCTGGGGGTGACCCCTACTGGCCGGTGTCTGTAGCACTGCCCAGCAGGGGGGCTGCCTACGGTCAGGGAGACAAAGACCCAACCTGTCTGACTGGTTGAGGGCAGGGACAGAACAAAGGAAGGGAGGTTTCGGGGGAAGGGTCAGTTTTCTGGCTGGGAAACATGAAGGGAACAACCTAAGCTGAGGGCTGAGGGTCTAGGGGGGCAATGGACCCCCCTAACCCAAGGGGTCTGCGGCATCCTGGCCCTGACTCCTGTAACCACATCACGTCTGGGCTGGGCTGTATCCTGGAGAAACAATAACCCATCTCTATTCTACTGGCTGGTGGAGTCTGTTCGTGCCATTTCGGGGGTGCAGGAGACGGGAAAACCCCAACGTGCCGTCACACCCTGAGATCTGTGTCTTTATCCGGTGACAGTGGGGGAGCGATCAGGACACAGTCCGCTCCTCATAGCCTGGGGTGACACTTTGTAATACAATGTAGATGGAATGTGAGGATGTGGCTCCAGGCCTTACAGTACTGGCTGCTGCTCTTCAGTCTGGCTGCAGAAGGCGGCTTTGGTTCAGGCCTAGAACAGGCCTTCCAACATGGCCACAGAAAAGCCGTATTGTTACACAGGCTTCCAGGACCCACGTTTCCACGCAGGGGCAGGCACGCAGGGACTGCTGATGCTCACAGGGGCTGGAGAGAGGCTGTCACTCGAGGACCGCGCTGCTTGGCTCCTCGTGATGCTGCAGCAGCACATGCAGGAACTGAACAACACTCGTCGCTTCCCCTCGAGCCCGGCGGGGCCGCGGGGAGGTGGCAGTGGGCTGTTGCTCAAACACACTGAGGTCACTCTGGGCAGGGACTCTGCTGCCTGGCCATGTCAGCCAAGAGTAAGGAAAGGCGGAGTCGTCCTGTGTGACTGGTTTTGAATGAAAGGGCATTAGGTTCAGGGGGCATCACAGCGGAGATCACCAAAACCGTGAGG